GGTCAGAATAAATCAGGGCTTGTGGTCCGAGTCAGAGTAATGTCCAAAGCTGACGTCAGTATTCTAGGCTGACTGTATGCAAGAAGAGACAGAATTATAAACTGGTTGTTTTCTAAACACAATTGTATAGCCCGTGGTAACGAGGACATGCGAACTTGATTTGTTTAAGGATCGAATTTTATTGGCGTGTTTCATTTGCGTTTTGTGTTTGAACTGTGTGTTTCCTTCAGCAATTGACATGTATGGTAAGTGGCATGGGTATACAGGCGCACTCTTCGCGGAGCAACCACTTGTCTGTGTCGTCTGCAAACGGTCCGATGGCCGGTAATACCCAGTCATTGACGAACAATCATACTAGTAACGCACCTGGCCCGACTCCAACCATCCCAGTCCAGCCGGTCGCCGCAGATTTCCTGCCCGCATCCACGTCCACTCCGCACCCCAGTGTCCGGCAAGAGAACGGGCCCAATGCCAGGAGTTACGACGGGCCCACTGCCAGGAATTACGATAGGCTCACTGCCAGGAGTTACGATAGGCCCGCTGCGATATCCGCTGGGCTTGTCCCCGCCAATGTCGTGTTGCCCACTCATTTCGGCTTCAAAGGATCCGCTACTCCGCCGCGCCAGGTGAACACCAGTGGATCAGTTTCATCTCTGGGTACTACATCAGCCTCCAGTACAGATGTGTCGGCTAGTACGGCTTTGACTACAACCTCGGGTGCGAGGCAACCAGTGGCGGCTGCGGTGTCTTCTACAGCGCCATCTCAACCACGGTCGCAGCAGGTTCTTGCTGATCTCTAGCGTGCTATGTGGTGTGTGAGTGTGTGCGCGCGCGGACGCACACACACAATGCCATGTGTTGTGCGGTGTGTGTGTGTGCGTGCGTGTGGGGTTTGTGTATGTGTGTGTGCAAGCGCGCGCGCACAATGCCATGTGTTGGGCGGTGTGTGTACGTGTGTGTGTGCGCGCGCGCGCGCATGCACACAATGCCATGATGAGGGTGATTCTGAAGGCAGTTTCGACAGTGGATTGGACTGTAAGTCCGACTGTGAATCGGACAGTGAGTCTGAAAGCTAAGGCTGGTGGACCGCACTATTGAAGTTTTTGAATTGATTTGAATTTGAATTGTACTTTTCAACTCTGCAGCAAATGACAAATACACTACTGCGCTATTATTTACATCTTCCATATCGCTCGTTTGCTAAGATCAGCTTATGATCGCTATCACTCTGCCGTTTTCCGGTGTCCTTTGCTTCGCTCGTGCTAGCTCTCTTCCGCTGGTGTTGTGGAGATAGTGTCCCAATAAATGAAATCCTCTCATACGAAAGATCCATGTTTGGGGTGATTTTGGTCAAATGTTACAACAAATCAATCTGTGCCATCTCTAATCACCATCAATAGGAAATGAACGCTCGGCAAAGGGCAACCATGATCTACAAATCATCCAAACACAAGAACAAATTCACATCGACTGCACTAATTTTCAATAAAACATCGTATCACATGCTGCCAATTTCAATCAAGGAGTCGTAAAATAACGACTTCCGTAACGAAACCTAAAATAATTTAATTGGTTCTCCCCAGCTTATGCCCTAGTTCTGGACATGACAACAAGCCGTTTCGACATCCCTAGGACATGGTCTTTCCACCCATGCAAAGCTCAGGTTGTCTGCTTGAGACTGAAACGGGACTTGCAAAACAACGTCTTTTTGATTTGGGCCGCAGGACTACATCACTGATTGTAGTGGACTGGACATGTTATCAAGGGAGTCGTAAACCTACAACTTCCTAGTGCATCTACTTGTACTTGTACTTGTAGAACATGTACAACTGTATGGAATTTGATGCGAACAGGCGGATTATTCCAATTTTATGCGATTTGTATGCAATTTGCCTCGAATTATGCGATTATTCGATTTTGGTAGGAATTATGCGAAAAATTATGCTAGCATAATCCGTCAAGGCCTAGGTTGAAGCGGCCTCGGGAGACTCGTGGAGAGCGATCTGGTCAATAGTGAGGTTTTGCATTCCGAAATTCGGCAAAAAGATTCGGCACGCGGGAGCGAGGTCGAAAATGCACACGAAGATTCGGCATGTTTGTTCGGAAAAAGCTCACTTTGCCGAAAATATTTTTCGGATGAATTTTCTTGTAGAAGAGCGCTAGCGCGTGATTTATTCAAAGAGGTTTCTTATCTCGGCATCGCTTCGCCTCCGTCTTTGGCGACATCAGCATCGTCAGCTACCTCTGATTGCTCCTCTGAGTCCTCTCCACTGCCTGTCTACTCTCTTTCGCCTGGACTGGAGTATCCTCACCGTCATCTGTGTGGCTGAAAAGACTATGGCGATACGCATAAAATTTGACTTGGCCATGGAGTTGGTTTTTCTGAGGTGACTGGGGAGGCAGGTTTGGCCCTCGACTCTTTGGGCGATCAAAGTTCGTTGGAATCAGCAAGAAAAGGAGCACGGGACAGGACATTGCTGATGCAGGGGCTCACGAAATGAAAACACATCATTTTCGACTTGCAAAACAAACGTTGGTGCGAAAATTCGGCATTTTGATGTTCGACAAATGACCGAAGAACGCCGAACCGAAATTCGGAATGCAAAACCTCACTAATGACTCATGGTTAACGAATTCTTGTTGTTTATTTTAGAAGTAACATCAAGAGTTATGTAACATGCACATCGCACTGCCTGATGTACTCCTCGAAATCAATGAGAGAAGGCGCGGGAAAGAACCCAGGATTAGGCCTTGACGGATTATGCTAATATTTTCATGAAATTATGCTTTTTTTTTTTTTTTTTTTCGTGCTAACTCATAATCGCAGGCTCAGAGAGAGAATGAAGGCCAGAATGGAAAATGAATCAACTCTTCAGTTCAAATGCAAAACTACAGTATCTCGAAAGCTGTCTCATATCGATCATATCGATAATGCATGTTCAGCGTGGTTTCACTCTTTGAAAATTTTTTTTTTTTTTTTTCAAATTATGCTTTTCGCATTGCTGAAAAAATTGCAGAATTATGCTATTTTTATGCTAAAAGTTATCATATTATGCCGCATTATGCCTCTGCTCACATATGCTGCTGCAGTCCATTCATCGGAAACTGGCCCGCTGGCTTTTGAAAGTCGGATTTGGGCCGAATTGAGGATCAAAAACCCACTTTAAATCTCAAAAATCTGGGTTTTGGATCTGCTTCTCCATACATTTTGCCAAGGCATACCTGTCCTAATTTTGTAAAACCTGGCTGAATTTCTATTTCCCTGGTCTTGGACTTTTCTGGCCTCAAATGTGGCAAGGAGTAACGGGTCACACAATGCAGGATGTACTGTTGTTTTCAAGATATCTACAACTATGTGAGAGAGACACCGAAAAGTTAGGGTGCCAGTTTCCAATGAATGGACTGTAGTACTACGGGCCTGGTCAGACTGCGGCAAATTTTGGTTGCCTGACGAAAACAGAACAGCGTCCAGAATTAAATATTTGAATCGCGATCACACTACACATGTGGGGAGAGTGAAAATTCAAACTTCATTTCGAGCGTCAAGTGGTAATCTCCACGAACGACGTCAAATTCCTTCACCTTGGGGATCGCCAACACCTTCAGTGCAATCCTTGCAACCATCGGTATGAGTTTTGTTGTTGTCCGTGGCCAATTAGCTCCTCGATATCGAGATGAAAAAATCAGTGATTATCAGCGTCAATGGCGTATCAGCGTCAAATCCTGTTTGGAGCGGAAAAGCGTGGTCCGTTCTTGCTTTTTTTTTGGAGCGTCTACTCTCGCTTTTGCCGCTCTGGCGGCAAGTTACTATGGAGATTCGGATTATAATCCTAGGATTATTTCGATTTTGCCGCAGTCTGACCAGGCCCTAATGTACATGTATATGATGGTTCTGTGCAAAATAACAGGAGATTTTTTGTAGAGGGCGTTGTTCTGTAGTAGCAAAAGTTCAACGGGGTCAACGCACCGTCCGACCTAGCTACGAACGGCCGTCACTATTGGACTGGACATGTTATCAAGGGAGTCGTAAACCTACGACTTCCTGGTGCATCTACTGTACTTGTACTTGTACTTGTAGAACATGTACAACTGTATTAATACGGAGGATTAGCAAGACGAAATTCGCGTTCGCGTTCGCACTCCAAGGAAAGTCGAACTCGGTGACGGAATTCGCGTTATGAGAAGGATTAGCAAACAGAATTCGCACATGCATGACGTTGGCACGATGTACAGGTACAGCGTGGTAAATTTATGACTGCTCTGACACGAATCCGCGATTCGTGTTCCGACTACTTTTCCGAACGAAAACTGCGAAAGTTCGCAATCCAGTTCGCGACCTGAAAAATGTTTGCGAACGCGAACACGAATTTCGTCTTGCTAATCCTCCGTAATATGGAATTTCTTCTTCTTCTTCTTCTTCTTCTTCTCTGTTCTTCGGTAACTACAAGTCATAATAAATATGAAAATGACTGTGAGAGTACAGTGTACATGTATTAGGTATGGAATTTGATGTGAACAGGCGGATTATTCCAGGGAGTCGTAAAATACCGGTATTTTACGACTCCCTGGATTATTCCAATTTATGCGATTCGTATGCAATTTGCCTCGAATTATGCGATTATTCGATTTTGGTAGGAATTATGCGAAAAATTATGCTAGCATAATCCGTCAAGGCCTACCCAGGCCACTGCAGGATTGACCAGCGACTCCCTCGGAAATTGACCAATTTGATGATGGACTGCTGTAGTACAAGGTCCACTGTATACATGTACATGTAGCACGAACATCTACGCGTATACGCTCTTCCAGCTAGTTGTACAATTTTTTGATCATTCTTTTTCAATGTTTTTTTGGCGGGCATACATAATGTGCCGTATTTGGGTGTACGTACGATGACGTTCATTTCATGATTATTGTAGATGCGTACATCAAGTACACGTGCGAGTTCATGTAGTCGAAGGACTTGGTTGCCAAAAAATGGATCTACAGGAAGCTTGACCACCGCGTACCGGTGCACCGTTCCTGGACTTCCAGGCTGAGTCAGGTTGGGTGCGGTGTGCGGAGGAGTTTTCCGGGCAGTCGTTGAGGAGCAGGAAGTGATGGCGAATCTTTGCGGATCTACAGTTGGATGGATGGCGGCGGAGTAAGCTACTGGCAGCTTTCTCCAACAGGAGCTACGGTGGGTAGAAAGTGGTCAAGCGTGCGAATTCAAGCTCCAAATATACCCAGCTCGTGCGTACAACATCTCATGCCATAATTAAATAATTGTCAATCTGCCAAATTTGTCGTTTGTTTGGAGCCCAGACCAATGTTGGCCTTGTTCCGCCAACCTTCTCTTGGCGATGGAGCTCAACTTGCAGTCTGGCGACGCCCAATGCATGGGTGTAACGCCAGCATCCGGATCAGGTGAGACGAAATAATGACCTCTTTGACTTTCGGCCTCGCTGATTATATTTTCTCAAGAAACAATATTTGCTGTAGAACATTTTTTAAGTCACACGGATTTCATTATTGTTTCCCATGGAGCTAAATTCCGAAATCAACGAGAGAGGTCGGGGGTGGGGGGAAAGAAGCAGCAACAATAAATCTGGCCAGTGGTCAACCACGTACTATGGTGTAGGAGAAGTTGATAAGAAAAATATTTCTACATGAATATTGACATGACTAGAATAGGTTGTGCCATTATGACGGTACCAGATACACACATACACACAACCTTTGACCTTTTGACGCCCATCGCCGGAGGCAATGATAGCGAAGCTATAGCAGAAGCCATAGCAACTTGTACTGGGATTGCACCATTCAACATACACCGATAATCACCATTGTATTCGACCTGAAGAGTAATGGAATGAAAGGCCTAGTCGAAAAATTATAATCTTCTGTGCTTTGTGTGCTGACATATACACATATACACACATGCACGCATGTACACACACACACACACGAGCGCGCGCGCACACACACACACACACACACACACACACACACGCATGTACACAACATCGTAACGTAAGTTTGGTGTAAATGTCATGGCCGCTGTAGCGGGCCGCAGTCTCTCGGAGGCAAGAACGCACAAGGGTCTCAGTGAACACACTGTAATTGGCAATTGAAATGTACTGGCAACGAAATTAACTCATAATGGAATTAACTTAACTGGCAACTAAATTAACTGACTGGCTACTAAATTAACTAACTGGCAATAAAAGAATCGTGAGCAGCAGCTTTTATGCAAAGGCAGACTCCGTACGCTAATGTACGGGGATACGCTAACGTATGGGGATACAGTACGGGGATATGCTAACGTACGGGATTACAGTAACGTACGGGTTATGCTAACGTACGGGGATACGCTATACGCTACACCTCCCCTCTCAAATACAATCACGTCCTCGTGATTCGAATACTCGGTGATAGCTAGCTGGACACCAACAACTGGCTGTTATTTAGAAGAAACTGGCGGCATGCATGGTCGCGTCGGAATAAACTCGACGATAAGAGAAAGGCAGAATGGATGTCTTGCATACTATAATACAGGTACATGTATGTAGTCGTGAACATTATAATAGATCGCGAATTACTGGGAGAGCGTCAACCGGAGTATGGCAAATAATATCGGAAATGATAACGTTTGGAATAGACAGAAGAATGAACTGATAAACAAATCATAAAGTAGAAGCACACCAGGTTCACACGATCTCACGGGGTCAAAAGGGTAAAGAAACGTCCTCCAAATAGGACCTGAAAAACCACAGCACTCTTGCTGCACAACGCTGGCATAACCCGCCAGGAACATCGCAGTTCAAAAACCGAACTGAATACACTATACTATATAATTATCACTATTCACTATACGGGGCATTGTCACACACATTGTCCCAGGTTAGCTGGGTAAACCGTGGCTCACCATGATCGGACGTCTACCAAACTAAACTGGATTCACACACTCGCATAAAGGAAGACTGAAGAGAATAGGAAGACTGAAGGAAGACAGGAAAGAAAAGGCCATACCTGGAATCAGCGTCAGTAACCATGGCGGCGGCTGGAGCTATGGCGGAGGGCGAGCCAGGTTTTATCTTCATCTTGGTTGAGCCGGTCACTTATAGCGGCTAGCTCGGCGTCACACAGATCACCCCTCGTCTTGAATCGTGGTCTTCACATTGTCGATAGCATCGCTTGGCGCGACGTAAAGAGCGATGGTCTAGCCAGGAAGAGTGGTGACGAAATTCTGCATTCCACCACAGAGACGAAGTACCAAGTGAATAGTGGACTCGTGCTGAACGTTGTAGTCACTCAGGGTTCGGCCGTCTGCCAAATGCGTGCCGGCGAAAATCAAACGCTGCTGGTCTTGGGGAATACCCTCCTTGTCTTGGGCAGCAGCCTGCCTGTCGTCGTCCTCATCAGCTTCGCCATCACCACCGGTAGTATACATGTAGGTAGCGGGTCGCTTGGAATCGCCATAGGAGTCTCCAGTGAGTGCCGTGCGGAGAGAAGGGTGATCCACGCTGGCACCCTGACTGTGCTGCAGGCTAATAAGCAGGGCCAAGCCCAGGAAGGCAAGAAACATGATTCTCATCTTGGTTCGTCGCACGGAGCTGTAGCGGGTTGAGCCATGGGGGTCCGAGAAACGTGTAAAGTAACAAAGTTAGGTATAGAATAAAACAAAATGAATTTACCACTGCCACCAATTTGTAGCACGTAAAACAGGTGGGGTCGAATCTGACAAAGTTGACTTTAACCACCGCTGCCACCAATTTGTAGCGGGCCGCAGTCTCTCGGAGGCAAGAACGCACAAGGGTCTCAGTGAACACACTGTAATTGGCAATTGAAATGTACTGGCAACGAAATTAACTCATAATGGAATTAACTGGCAACTAAATTAACTGACTGGCTACTAAATTAACTAACTGGCAATAAAAGAATCGTGAGCAGCAGCTTTTATGCAAAGGCAGACTCCGTACGCTAATGTACGGGGATACGCTAACGTATGGGGATACAGTACGGGGATATGCTAACGTACGGGATTACAGTAACGTACGGGTTATGCTAACGTACGGGGATACGCTATACGCTACAGCCGCGCGTTGGCGGGTTTGTGACTTGGCTTAGATCAGTCTAGTGGCTACCCAGGTAGACGACCAATATAGTCGCCATCCAAGTTGCTAGCTCACACAGAACGACAGGTTTCTAATTCCACTTGAACAGTGTTTATTGAACCATTGCAATGCTAAATCGAAAGATCAAGCGTGAAGAGTCAAAGACCCAAAGCAGGAGAGAGTCGGAGGAGTAGTAAGCTCCCCGAGAGTCGAGAATGAATGTTAACAAAACAGCTCCTTATATGCTACATTATGCGATCAAAAGTATGCAACAGCGACAAGAATGTGTACGTGTAAGGATTATTTCTATATTTCAAACAGTGATGCAATCAGCCAAACTAGGATATACGTCAGTACAAAGATCAATACGGGAGCCCGCTCACCCAAATGTGAGTACAGTGTTCTCCAAATGCTGGCATGATCTTGGTCCGTGATCCGGTGGACTGGGATGTATTGCAGCAGGCGGGAAGCGTAGCTGTGTCGCTCTTGCGGCTTCACCCAATATGGGCTCTTCCCTCCAAACATAGCAGCAGACGGCAATGCCGTGTTCCCTCCAACGAGCCTGGGGTCTAGAGTACGCGAAGTACTGTCGGCCCTTTGCGTCTGACGACACGAGAAGAGGCGCCACTCTTGCTCAAACTAACAAAGGTATCCGCTCCCTTGCAGGACTAAGCGTGGTCCCCTCAAGCTCAACAGTGTAGTGAGTACAATGCTGACGACTTGTACTGAAGGTGTGGTCGACGTACGACCACACTTTGCGGCTCTAGACCACGAGTTGTAAGCCATGATTGCTCAACTAGCGAAAGTGCCAAATCCTTCGCAGGACTAATCATGGTTCTTACAGAACTCTAGTATATTTCGGAGCCCAGCTTTTGGCTGCTGAGCTCAATGCGTGGTCGCTTTCACGACGAGTCTGATCCGGGTCATGACAATTCCCCGGCCTCTCAAGAATCGCGTCCCAGTGATCTCAACTAACATTAAAGTCAGCGAGTCGTGACGGTAACCGCCTAGCTCTCGTTGGCCAAGCCAACTGGTTCTGTACCGCAACAGGTACGGGCATAGAGTACAAATGTGGCTCCACAGGAGGAACATTTCCATCGAAAAATTTGGAGTGTGGGTGCTCAACTGAAGAAGTTTCCGAAGCACGAAATCAAAAATATTCAATGAGCTTCGAAGCTTCGTCTTTGACCAAGTTTGGGCCTTTCGCTTCATGCTTTTGTTTGTTCCGTGTGACTAAAGACAACATTGCGAACATGGGTCCATTGCATTAACTTTACGTGTATCACCCACGTTCCCGTATCGGTTACGTGGGACTAAACCTCCCTAGTATTTTGAAGAGTGCACGTACTTAAGCTCCCAAGAGTGTGAAACTCTGGATACCCCATATATGGAATCCGCCGACGGTGAAAACTCACATCACGTGGTGTATTGTTCCCACTGTATGTTCCAAGCCCGTGTTTAGCGACCAATGGAGTAGTGAAATAGGTCAAAATTAATCGCACTTCCTGACAGAAACCCACGAACCTTACTGAGTATTCAAGTCATCAGCAAGATCATGATATTCGGGCTGCACGCAAGCTGGCCTTTCTTGAACCTGATCTGAGATGCTGAGCTGTGAAGGGCTGGGGACTACAACCACACCAGATTTCTGCTGCAAGAAATATTCCACTTGTCGGATCACGAGCTGTCTGCCAAGAACGAGTCTGCTGTATCCACTTCTGTCTCAGACTCCTCCACCAAATCCAGAATCTGCTCATCCAATGTCCCAATTATGGAAACTTTCGCCTTTAGCGTACCCACAAATTGCTGAAGGTCCACGATGGGTTCAGACCATGCCAGTGTCGATGACTCAGATTTCATTTTTTCAAGGGTTGATAATGCCAGGGTATTCGTCTTTGTTGCGGACGCTCGGTGGCCACCGCGTTTCCGCTTTAGACGAATCAGCGAAGCGACCTCGCTGACAGGACCAGCGCTGGCATTGGGATCTGTCATTGTCGCGAATTTCAAACTGATTGACGTCCGCGACTACAACCAGCGGCAAAATAAATCGATGGCTCGAAGGACCATGTGTGATACAAACAATAACCATGTGTGATATGTAAAAATATTCGTGCGAAGACGATCGACCCACAACCATAGAAGACTGTACTCATTACTCCGACACACAAGGTAGGTCAAAACTCAAGGGTTTCCAATAATTGTGGCGAACTGATGATCGTCACAGGAAAGCTATATTGGAAACCTCTTCACCTACCTTGCCTTGTGTGTTCGACTAATGGTTGTTCATTATTAAATATTTCTACGGAAAGGGACGCCAGGCACCTGATTGTGTGCATAATTGAAGTGATAGTTGCTGCTCTGCTGCTGTTTGTCGGCTCTGCAGCACAAGTGCTTGTGGTCGTTCTGATCGTGGTGATCGGCGGTATCGTGTTTGCCCTCCGCGGAGCTGACCTCCTGCCCTTCGGTCATGAGCGTTGGTACATGGTGTCGCCAGACGCCTTTAGCCCTCATCACTTGCTCTCCTTTTTCAATTGGAACAGGTGGCACATGGTAAGCTGTACAATTCCGGTCAGAGATATCGGAAATCCGTGACTAAAGTATCGCCACGTTCAAGTGAGCAGAGTGAGTGTTGTGTGTGTGTGTGTGCGTGTGTGTGTGTGTGCGTGTGTGTGTGTGTGTGCGTGCGTGTGTGCGTGTGTGTGTGTGTGTGTGCGTCAGCTAGTTCGGATGCTGGGTACACTTATGCCTGATTGTGTAGAGTCTGTTGCCAACAGGCTCGGCTGCTTGAAAGTGTAATGTTGTACCTGCCACCTTTGTTGGTTCCAGGGTTCTTATACTTCTATTTCAAGTATACATACCTGTTAACCATGGACTGCTTCTGGCTAGATTAACTCTTGTGTAATCAATGGTGCTAGTGAAGCTCCACTCTGATTTAGCCACCACACTAGTAGCAAGTATTACCTTCACTGGGGGCGGGGGTAACTGCAGGTGGATCCCGGGGCGGATACCCTGATGCCGTCAATCCTTTTTCTGCACCTTGTCCTCACCCACTTACTGAGGTGTGGTGAGCCCATAAGTGGGATCATTTTCAAGTCCACCCAGAGTTTTGGGAATTTCAGGGGGTGTCGGCCGTTGGGCGGTTCAATAGCCAAGTGAGTCATCTTTCCAAGATTCCTTTTGAGTCTCTCTCCCCTCTCCTGGGGAGACCCATGTGACCAGTTTTGGCAGTGAGCAACAAGTACAAGTGTGAGTGTGTGTGTGTGTGTGCGTGCGTGCGTGTTGGAAGTTGGACTAGTTTCGGCTCCACAATCCAGTGTGTCGTTACTATAATAGCTTTCATGGCTGAGGTTGTTGGTATGTCTGTTGGCTCTGGGTTCCCAGTACTCAGTAGCCGAGGCTGGTTGGTAAAGTAACTCCAATTTCACTTCAAGGTACCAGTGCATCTAGTGTCTGCTTCTATCAAAGCAGCGTGCTGTCTATACTGGTTACCCCATCAAGTGTAGGGTGTGCATAGGTAACTGTCTTGGCCGTTTTATGCCGATGTACTCCATGTGGTGTAGACCAGGTGTGCATTGGTGGTCGATTCACATGGCTTCGCCAGTTGTGTGGATTAGACAGTTATCTGGCGCAAGTCTTGATCAGTCTCATTCAGATACTGTTCGCTATCATTGCTATAAGAGAAAATCTGTGGGTGCACATCCAGTGCATTTGCAGATTTGCGTGCTTCTCTTGCGACGGGCGTATACATGGTACATGGTGTGTGTTTGTGTGGGTGTGTGGGTGTGTGATTAGGGATTCACTGGCCAGAAAAAGCCACTTCGAATAGCTGTGTGGTGTAGACCAGGCTGAATAGTGGTGGTGAATCCTTCAGCCTTGCAAGCTGTTGAATGGGGCAATCCCAGCACAAGTTGCTATGGCTTCTGCTGTAGCATCGCTATCATCGCCTCCGGCAATGGGCGTCAAAGGTCAAGGTGTGTGTGTGTGTGCTGATCTCGTCACGGCTGGTGTTGCTAATACTGAGCATTGCTGTGTGTGTGTGTGTGTGTGTGTGTGTGTGTGTGTGTGTGTGTGTGTGTGTGTGTGTGTGTGTGTGTGTGCGCGATTTCCAATCGAGAGGTTGCGGGTTCAATTCCCGACGATTATGGTCGCACACGTCTTTCTTCTCTTTCTCGGACTCTTCCTGACTTTTCTTTCATTCTCCTGGGTGGTTACCAACAGCCAGTGTATGCCGGAGTATGCGGTGTGGTGTGTGTGTGTAGAAAAAAAATTAAAAATAGGGATTCACTGGCCAGAAAAAGTCACTTCAACCAGCTGTGTGGTGGATACCAGGCTAAAATAGTGGCGGTCAATTCATCAGCCTTGCAAGCTGTTGAATGGTGTAATCCCAGCACAAGTTGCCATGTCTAACATAGCTGTTCGCTATCATCGCTTCTGCGATGGGCAGGTCTGAGGTCTGAGGTGTGTGTGTGTGTATACATGTGTGTGTGTGGGTGTGGGTGTTCATGTGCGTTTGTGTGCACGTACGTGTGTGTGTGCATGTGCGTGTGAAGATTGCCGGAGTACTGTTATGGTCTGCCTCTCCATCTGCTGCCGATTTGGACACGAGCATCATACCGGGTAAGAGCTAGACTAAGCTCGCTGCCAGTCTACCGTGCGGATATTGCGTATCTGTGGACTTTGCTCACACGCTGTCTGGCGTATTTGTCGGGGGACACATGCTGGTGGCAGTATGTAAGCGCATGTTTATGGGAATGTGGGTGCGGGTGTGATGTCACTGAGTGCATCTAAGCGTGTGATTCCCACTGTGTTCCACACGCATTCGTTCTTCACTTCTTAGAGAGGTTCCGTACTACGTAAAGCTGAGCAACTTTACATTAGTGGGCGGGAAAACCCCGTGAATTCGCGAGTTTGCGCGCCACTTACGGAAAGTTGTCTACGGAGAGTACGTAGATAGCAGGCGCGTACGCAGGGTCACCTCTAGGGGGGTTTCCAACCGAATCGCAAACAATGACTCTAATTTAAAGAGCCCTAGGAAATTTTCAAAATTATGCATTTTTTCGTGTTCTTTGGATCATAACTTCAGTTCTACTCACTCAATCTTCATTATCTTGGGCTTCCTGGAAGTGGAAAGGTACCAGGGAGAGAATGAGGTCGACCATGATACTCCAGGACACAGTACAGTCATGTACATATCCAGCGCTATGGCTATTTATCGCGGTAGAGTGCAGCGATGGTGCGAAAAAGGCCCAAACGCGTCCTGCTCCAGCGATTTCGTTTTTCTTGATCGCAGAGTTTCGATTTTTTGGCTGTGTACTCTTGAAAATATCACAAGTGAAGCCCCTGCAAAATTGAGCAAGTCAGCGCGACGAAAAGTCTCAACTAATTCTGGATACTCCAGTCGCACTGCGCGCTTTTGAAATTGCGAGATCGCGGCTCAACTTACGAATGATTTATCTTAAGAGACATTGCTCGCAGCGCGTTGAAAATTGTTTCAACCGACAGCTGAGAGTTTTCTATTCGACCTGGATATTTGGATCGTTGGATTTGAGCGAGATTTGACTGAGTTGCGATCTGTAGAAGTTTTGCATTCTTGCCAGATCGATCGTGCGCCCTACCAAAAATGCCCAAAAACGTTGCTCGTTTGGAACATTTGGGGGGTTTCCGGGCAACGGGAACCCCCCCCCCCCCCCTGCGTACGCGCCTGGATAGGGCTCTGATAACGTAGGTGGTCCGTTAGTGGATCGGGGTACAAATTTATGACTCTCTCCCCAGGTCGATTCGGTCGTACACTGCCGCGTTTGGAGTTGCCAAGGGCAGCTACGTGATTTTGAAAACTCTGTATGGCGGAACACAGATCCGCATGCAGTTTACGTAAGACTTTCCGTAGATCTACTACGTTTTTTACTGACTTTTAAAATTACGTTCTGCGGAACCTCTCTACTTTACTGTGCATATAACGTAAAATCCCGCCAGAGCGGCCCTACCTCCGCCACCCTTCGAGTAGGTCCAGGTGGGGAAGGGCGGATGGGCGAGTCCTACTTACTGCATTCAGTACTACATGAAAAAGTACTCACCCGACGAAAACTGTTCGTGCATCTCGTACACCGACCAAAGGTCAAGAGCCAGGAGTCGTACAAACCCATCAATTTTGTGCGATCCCTGGTCAAGAGGGTGGGCACTGTTGCATACATTTCCAACGGGGTTGAGCACGCGTCTGCAGTACATGTATACAGTACGGCATCACAGAGTCATACGAGGATACAATCAATCACTTCCCTGACAAGAAGTCAGGGAGGGGCGGATGGGAGAGACGGGGCGCTCTGGCGGGATTTTACGGTAACAAAACCCCATTCCCCATTACATAGTATAGCGTAATACTTTTTTGCCTGATGGTCGTGCAAGTGATGTCTTTACTTTCTTCACCTGCTCCCAGCCTCGTGCCATCTCCACACTCAGACAATGTACGACGAGATAACTACGTTTAGAAGACTGTTTATTGCAAGACGACGAAACACAACTAGACATGACGAACTGAAGACGAAGACTGCTTTTCACACCACAGCAACACGCGCATGCACCAACACCACGTGCACACGACGTACACAAAATAATATACTACAACACACATGTATAACACTCTGAGTTGCATTTAACATTCTGTTCCATCTTACTTGTTTGTGCGTCATACAATCATGTATTTGTCCTTCAGGCATGTGTCCATTTCTTGAAATCGCCAATCTGCAACCATCCTACGTATACGAGTCTAAGCAGCTATATGCTAATGTTGCTTGCCGTGACGGATACGATATTGTACCGGAGGTAACTAGAGCGATATGCGGCAGGGACATGACCTGGTACCCGAAACCCATCAAATGCGTCAGTAAGTCACCAGGCATCTTGTCCTGTGCAGAGTAGATGTCTCTCTCTCTCTCTCTCTCTCTCTCTCTCTCTCTCTCTCTCTCTCTCTCTCTCTCTTCATGTAACAATCTTGGTCATGTGCACCACCGGCTTCACTGTCAACAATTTACATGACCAGCCGTGTCATGTTATACTAATTGTTGGTGCTACTGTCGTTGTTTTTGTTGTTGTTGTCGTCGTCGTCGTTATCATTATCAATGCCGGCGCCATTGCCACTGTTTATTTTGCTGCCGTTGGTTGACGTGGCCATCGTTTTTTCCCCTCTCTCTCTCTCTCTCTCTCTCTCTCTCTCTCTCTCTCTCCTTCTGCACTGCAGATAAAACAGCCACAACGACGGGCGACACCAGCACATCGTACGTCAAGCCCATCATCTGCTCAGTGTGCGCTGTGCTCATCGTCACGCTGCTCGTCCTGCTGGTGTACTACCGGATGCACACACAGCCTCTCGCCAACATGGTGCGCGATCTGATGCGCGACCTGCAGTACCCGCACGGCGTTGCTGCGGCCGACCACCTTCAGGTCAACACCCTAGCCGATACGCCTGACTGTGTTCGCCGCATGCACACGGTCGTGCAGACCCTCTCGTCCTCGTCCAACACCGAGCTGATTGGCCAGCAGTGTCCAACGGCAACGACGGAGCCCGCGGCCAACGTGCAGCAGGCAGAAACGGCCACCACCACCGGCGGTCATGCCGGGTCGCCTCTGTACTGTCACTCGCCGATCTATCACCAGTCCAGCTCCAGCCTGCTGTCCCGCGATGAGTACTCCATGCCGCAGACTGGCAGAGTTGGCGGTCACGGCGCCTCGGCATCGCACTTCTCCGATTGGCCGTCGCCGCCTCAGCGCAAGAGCTCGCCCTCTCCCGTGCATCGGAAAAAGCTGATGAGGAGCCATCGGCTGATCTCCGACTCAAGCCTCCAGGCATCCACGTCGCCGGGAATCTCTCGCAACCAGTCCGTGGCGGTGATTGAGGAAGCCTCTGAGCCGGCAAGGTCGCCCCGTCGTCAGCACGTCTACGCCAAGCTGAACGGCATGGCCAGTTATCGCGAGCGGCCGTCCAGCTGCAAAGCCTCGCTGTCGGCCGATATACAAGTACGTCGCCAGCAGCCGGAGTACACTACACGGCTGACAGATATCTGCGCAGAATACTCCCTGCCCGACCTGGACCTTGCTGCCATGGGAACGGAGGTGGAGTTCATCATCCGCCCGACGTCGCACAGCAGTGGGGACAGCCATGGCAACGACTTGACCTCATCCCCGGCCACCGCCGCTATTCCCGCTCCGCCGCCGCCGCCCAGACACCACCACCACCAGGGACGTAGGCCACCACCGCTTGTTGCTGCAGCCGCTACTGCTGCCGCCGCCGCCGCAGCACCGATCCGTTCCATGGACGGCAGCGTGAGCTCGAGGCGCCAGCGGCCGTACATGCTGATACCCAGGTCTCTCACGCTCGGCGCAAAGGCGCTCAGCAGCTGCCCGGTTTCTGGCATGAGTCGATGCGGTGGCAGCGGTGGTGGTGGTGGTGGTGGTGGTGGTGGCGGTGGCAATGATGACTATGCAGCCATCTGGAAAAAGAACCGATCAGGCACCTGGAGTTCTTCTCGAGATCCGGGAAAGCACCACCGGCAGCAGCAGCATCAACACGAGCAACAACAACAACAACAACAACAACAGCAGCAGCAGCAGCAACCGCAGCAACAACAACAAGAACAACAACAACAGCAGCAGCAGCAACCGCAACAACAGCAACAACAACAACAGCAGCAGCAGCAACCGCAACAACAGCAACAACAACAACAGCAGCAGCAGCAACCGCAACAACAGCAACAACAACAACAGCAGCAGCAGCAACCGCAACAACAGCAACAACAACAGTTAAGTGCATCGATGCAACAATTCGACGACCCGGTCACTTGTCCAGTGGCTGTGTGCAGCCTTGCGGAGCAAGGCAGTAACCGTCACACACAGTGTCAGGTTTACTTGGGGCTACGAGAGGACTGCCGGCCTGCTTGCCCTGTGGCCATTTCCAGCGAACCGTGCCAGCACTGCTGCTTGGACTCGAGCTGCTGTGGCCGACAAACCGGCAACGAAAGAACTCTTCCTGCTGAAAAGGCTAGTAGTGGTTACGGCAGTTCGGCGTCACCACGTCACACCTCCTTACCACTCACACTTACATGTGACGGCGTGTTATGCACGCCTTCAGCGGCGAGGAGCGTGGGTTCACGACGGAAGTCTTCGCCACAACACATGCCCACGTGCTTTTGCGACGAGTGCGTCCTGCCGCCACTGGATGATGCCGATGAAGATGTGTTCGAGAGCGACGGAGGTGAACCGCACTTCGATCACCGAGCCAGGTGCTCACCAAGACAGAAACGTCAGCAGCAGCAACAGGAGCAGCAGCCGCAGGAAGAGAGGGCGCTGTTGCCGGACGAACAGCCCAGCAGCACTGAGAGAGCACCAGAATGTTACCAGATCGAAGGTGAAGTGGTTTGTGGTCCATCGACAGACGAGGGCCAGCATCCCACAAGCAGCGATGCACCGTGCAGCCAACAGTCTATGGAAGAAGAGCTGCTGGAAGTCTACCGGCGCCTGAGTTCCGTGTCCAGCTCAGACACACGGGCACTGCTGTCTAGTCGACAGTCGCTGTGCGACATTAATCAGATGCCCGCCGCCAGCCACCGGGACATGCTGCGCTCTGCGCGCGGCTCGCTAGAGCCGTGCCCCGCTGCGACGAAGGACATTCGCGGATCAACCACTCCCAGGCTCTCGCTGGAACTGTCGGCGGCAGGTGGAGGTACGGAAAGTGTCTCCGTGTCCCCCAATCACGAAAAGGTGAAGCAGCTGAACAGCGGCAGCACGACCATCTCGACCATGTCCGGTTCGTTCGACATGGATCAGTTCCAGCCCGACCCCATGATGCAGGAGGTGCAGGACACGTCTCCGCAGATGGCCGTGAACCGCTCGAAGGCCGGCAACTATCCACGCTCCAGCCCGTCCAGCACCTCCAGCAGCGGCGACCCGGCCGCTCGATGGCAGCCGCCCTCGTCGCATTCGGACAGCACTGGCAGCCTTCCCACACGACTGTTCGGCCCCAAGAGTCCCATGCTCGCGATGCGTAGCTCCTTCATGAGCAGCCTTCGTCGCAGCACTCTGCCCGTCATACCGCAGAAAGGCAGCGACGGCCAGTCCAGTGCCAGTGCCAGCACCAGCGGTAACTCCAGCCTGGCGGTAAAGGGCAGCGGGAGCGGCCTACGCGTATCTCGTACCACCGCCAGCGACCCGCTGAGCCCTGACCAGTGCGATGTTCCCGCATCAGACGGACCGGCCAGCTCTGCTTCCCAGCCCGACAGAGAATTGAACCCGTTAAGACTGTCTAGCACGGACGACACACCGGGCGCCAGTCGCACGAGCCAAGTGGCGGCCAACAGCGCATGCAGACGGACCCAATCAAATCCGTGTCAAAAGTCGTCTTCTCCGTCATCGCCCGTATCGCTATTCGCCCGGAAAGGCGACATTAAGCTTGACGTGCTGTCACGTAGTCCCCCTGTGACACAAGTCAGTGTGACTGAAGCGCTGCGTGACGTGAGCGGTGACAGGACGGCGTCTGTAGGCTCTCCACAATGCCGACGGGTGCTCCAGAAAGGATGGTATAAAGCCACTAGTAGCTGTGGCTGTGATACTGCTAGCACTGGCTTTGGCAGCAGTGGGACCGGCACTGCAGCGGTGAGGTGTTACTCAGATGACAACCAGTCGGCGCACTACGGAAGGAGACCAACGACCATTCCATTCACGTCTTCATCCTCCGCACGCTACGCCCTCGAAGGCGAATCGCCCTCTTACAGTGCCGCTCGCAGCCCGCCCGGTTTCCTGCGCGAGGCGCCCGGGAGCGGCGCTGGCCAGCACTGCCCTCTCCTGCCCATTGGTGGTGGTGGGGGTGGCAATGGTGTACGGCAGCAGGGCTTCCTAGCAACGGCGGACCTGTCAAGAGTCAGCAACAACAACGCGGACGCCAGTAGCAGTGGCGGCGGCACTCACTCCACAGTCCAATGCTACAACCTGGAGAGCCAGTCACGTGGTGCCAGCGTCAGCAGCTCTGCCCAGAGTCCAAACCGTTCTAGTACAGACGGGCATTCGACGACGCATGGTCCTGGGGCCAGGCTAGCCAACAGCGGCGTTGCATGCCATGCCAGCGGACATCATCACCGACACCGCAGTTGCCGCCACCACGACCGCCATCACCACTGCCAGTACCAGCAGCAGCAGCAGCAGCTGACGGCGCCACCACCGTTGCCACCGCCACGCACCAAGCTCGATAGTGTGTCACTTGTCGGAGGCGCCGGTAGCGGTGGCGACAAGAGTATCAACGCCCAGTTCAGCATGCAGACGTTCACTAGCGCCGACGAGAGTGTAGACATGGACCTCAATATCGGCTACCAATGCCTGCGCCACATCCAGGCGCACTGGTACGTCAACAGTCCGGGAATGGTGATGCCTAAAACTCGCCCCGGTGAGGTGCTGAGGCGTGATTTCTCCTCCGCATCGCCACGCCATCGCAGCATGTCCGACACCGGCCACGTTGCCGGCAGGAGTCCCAAGGCCAGGAGAGAGCAGTATATCCGTAGCGGACGGTGGGCGGCCGGTGAGAACGTTACCAGCGGTGGTTTTGAGCAGGCCATGCTGTAGGCGTACGGCTGAGCAAGTGTGTGCGTGCTTACAATTTTCATTCTTCGCCTCATCTCGTCCTTTGAAGCCATTGTGAGGAGCTATATCGAACAACTTGTTGACCTTTTTACAAACCAATTTCAATTTCAAATTCAATTCTGTCAATTGTATGTTGTCAAGATGGGCTTCAAACATGCACTAGAAGTTCTTCAGCCAATACGTGATTACCTGTCAGTTAGAATTTCATTTATAGGTACTGGTCATCTTAGCGTAAGACATTATGTTTACAAGACGTGTAGTGCTTTATCTCTCTTCTGCTTGCACTACACAACTTTTAGTAGCTTTCTTCTCAAACCGCCAAATTCGCTCGGTATAAGAAAATAAGAAGAAGAACTGTATGATAGACACCAACATGAGGTGTTCCCCCTTTCCCTTTCATCAACATATTTGCTTGTTATGTCTGCCTGTCTCTCTATCTATCTCTCTCTCTCTCTCTCTCTCTCTATCTCTCTCTCTCTCTCTCTCTCTCTCTCTCTCTCTCTCTCTCTCTCTCTCTCTCTCTCTCTCTCTCTCTCTCTCTCTCTCTCTCTCTCTCTTACATTTGCTAGCTTTTTGTACTGAAGTACATTCCTGGTGGGGAAGGTTATCCACAGTGTCAATCTGCTGTCTACCGATATCTCTCTTCACATCACGTGCCTGCGCGCGTATTATTATTGCAGCAACAGCATACCGTTCAACAAACACTTTTTATCAATAGAGCGAAAAGTAAGAAAATCATCATCGCGCAAATGATAGGAGTATGAGAAAGACTGTCCAAGCTGCTACTGTGCAAGCTGCTTGGCTTGGGCCTCTCCACACCGAGTGCGGCTTGTCCTCCAGAATCTTAGCTAGCTGCGCTTGCAGGGGCGTCGGAAGGTATTTCAGTGTGGTACGGTCAGCCATCTGAAGTACAATTTACTCATGAGGGTGGGGTGGCTGAGTCGAGAATTTTGGAATTTTAGATCCCAGACCAGTGTATTTTGTTGATTCACGGGGTATCTGGGGCAAACAGTGGTACGATCAATACCATAGTGACCGTCCCGTGTGCGACGCCCATGCAAAGCAAATCCAGAATAATCCGTGTGGAATGATACTACCGGTAAGGAGGCTCTTGAACAACATATTGAAAGTTTTCACTAGTATACTAGTCTATGCGGCAAGAGTACAGTCATGAAGGCCTTCATGTACCAGTGCTCAGTCTAGTATGCGGGTATACAAGTTTAAGAGCCTAGAGTGTGTCCTCCTCCTTCTTAGCATTGTTGCATTCCTGTCTCCAAGGAAATTATACCGAATACTCGAAATAGAAACCGTCACAAGCTAACGAATCGATTACTCGTAGTCGGTTATGCATAGAGCATACATGATTATGCACGTGTTATGTACCTCCTATCTATGATTGTAGATCGACCGATGTGCGAGAAAAAATTCTCTCTCCCACAGGATCAATTTTAAAATTCTAAATTTTCGCATTTTCAGCTTTTAATACTGCTTTTTATCTGTGGAAGAAATAATCGAAAAATAACCGATATTTAATCGATAAAGGGTTAGGTTATTCGGTGGTCAAAAAGTGCAAACGTTTCACCCCTAGTTTGTAAGTACAGGTTCCTGCACGAGTATGAGGGCAGTACCGTGGAATCCAGCCCGCGCCGCGATAGCGGCAAGGGCTGGATGAACAGCGGTACTGGCCGAGTATGAGTGACTGGAACGTGTTTCCCGTGTGCACCCAAGCCAAATGCTTTTTGGTCCCGTATATCCATAATCACTCTACTGTACTCTGTACTCTGTACGAAACACGCGCCAAGTTCGAGCCAATGAACGCAGTGGATTCCGTTCCTGAATCCGTTCCTGCCCGTCGTCACTTGACGACGGGCAGTGGAATCCGTTCCTGCCCGTCGTCACTTGACGACGGGCAGTGATTCAGTTCCATCACCTTTGAGCAGGCAGGACCGCGCTTTCCAGCCCGCGCTGTTTCATCTGTCATCGGTCAACTCCAAGGCGACAATCACGTGACATACGGGAACGCCCAATACTGTATGAACTACATGTATCTGCATGATGGGTAAGTTGACTGGAAGCTTGTATGGAAGGTCAGCGCAATGCCGAATCATGAAAATGCCGGCATTAATATCCGCTGGACCCTAGTCAATCACCGCATGCATGGACTCGACTACGCACTCCATGATTGTGATCTCAGCTGAGCAAGAGTTCATAAGTTGATTATTTATTTATTTCACCTTCCCGTGGCCAGAGAATATAGGCCAATATGGAGGATAAGAATAATACTTGTCATTATGATCCATCAATCAGGGAGTCGACTCGTCCGACTTCCATGACTTCCATGGCATGGTCCTTTTTATTTTTTCACTGTCTACAGCCTCGTTTACGGGCAAAAGCAACACAATAATTAATTACGATGAGAAACCAGGGTATGATGATGAAGAACATAACACACAGGTGTGGGAAATGTGTCTCATGAGAGCCACGGTGGCGAGAGTTTTACACTGTAAACCACGTGACTGGTTTAGATCCGGCTTTCAACCACCGCCAGCTCACTCAGCTGTTAAAGCTAGGCATTGGCGGATCATGAATGCTCGAAAAGGTGGCAGGTTCTGCTCGAAAAGTGAAATTGGCAGAACCATACAAACCTTATGGCGGGCAATTCCTCGAATTCTGCTCCATTTCTTTATCCACATACCAAACATGACATGAAACTTACCAGAAAAAGTACCAAATTCTGCCAATTTTTCTGCCGCCATTATCCGCATATGCCTAGTTGTTTTTGGCATCATTATGTACAAGAACTCGCTCATTTTGAGTTGCGATATTAGCAGCTATTGAGCTTTTTCTGAAAAATAAATATGGATGCGATTTCAGCAACTTTCACAAGTCTTGTTTTGGCATGGTTGCGAAAAGCATACCGGTAAGTGGCAAAATATTTTGGCATCTTTGAGAAAGGGCTAGCCTCAATCCACATTCAGGATTCGTTCCCCTTACTTCAGCAGTACTACACAGCTTTGGTTTTTTTCTTCTTCTGGCGCTCAATTGTGCTGAAGCAGCAGAGCATCAAGGGGTTGGGCCACAGGGGAGGATCCAGGGGGGGGGGGGGGGGAGGTTCCAGGGGTTCCGCGGAACCTCCTAAATTTCGTAAATTAGTAACTACTGGCAACCTTTGCGTGTCCATGTAAGTAAAAAAAGTAAATTATCGTGTCCGTTCCCGAAGAGAACTCACGACGGCCGCTAACACCCGATAAACCCTAGCGTGTCCATGTACATACATGTATATCAGCTATAAGGAGGGAAACTTCCTTCTGCCAGCGGATAGTCGCCTGATGATTGCATTGAGCAAGAAACCCCGAGTTGCGACAACTCTGTAAAACTCCATTGTGCCTTTTGTGTATCGATATCAGCTATTCAGTTTTGACTATAGTATCCTGGGACCCCCCTGTAGAGATCGCTGGATCCGCCGCTGGGCCGAGTACGCCGCCGCCGCATCATGCCATCAGGATGGAAGACGCGAACGTCAAAAATTGCATATTGTGCTCGGGTCCAGAAGCCACCAGCCGAGGCACGGACATCGGCTCCGGCATCCTCGGCGGTGTTCGCCGATGTAGCGGTAAATACCTCTCCAGAGAGAGGGCTAGCTGGGGCTCGATTGCCACTGCGTGGCAGACCTCTGTCAATAGCTCCTCTACCATGTCGCGAACTTCGTTATTATGGCGCGGCGGATTGTAGGGAAGCCACCCGGGGGCAACGCAGGGTGGCATGCTAGCAGTGGAGAACAGAACTCCACCGGCACACTTGGCGGGGACGTCGAGGGGAGGCCAGTGCAATGCAAGGCTGTCCCCGTGAACTTACTTCTGCTTCCGGATGTGGAAACCATATTCCTTGAGAGGAAGAGCAGTGAGCCAGGAAGAGGGCCTTCCATGATCCATGACCATGATCCACGAAGATAATGACAGATACTATTATGCATCTGCGCCTTTGTCCTAGAGGGTGGTGGCGTTCCCACGGTGGATGCGGAAAACTGGGCTTCCAGCCGAGTCTCACGCGAACCGTGAATTTTTTTATTTTATTATTATTATTATTATTATATGCTGCTTGATACGTGCGTTCAGATGTTCACGGTGAGGAAGGATGTCCTACCAACCCAACTTGCATCTAAATTGGTATACCAATTTGAGTGCCGACAATGCGGTAGTCGGTACGTTGGTAGGACTCTTCAACATCTGAACGCACGTATCAAGCAGCATGTCCCACTGCATATGCTGACTGGCTCGGCACGGGCACTGCGGCCCAAACGCGGCAGGCCACCGAAGAACCCTCGGCCACAGGCATCGTTAGCACAATTGCCGTCATCGGCAATAGTGCCTCCATTACCCGTATCGAGAGCCTTGGAGTCGGATAATGGGCATATTGTCACCACAACACAATGCACCATAACAACACAAGATAACACACCACAACAACATTCAGCTCAAGACCAAAGTGGACGCTGTGATGAGGTGATGCCCTCATCGCCGTCTTTGCCGTTGCCTCCCCAGAACCGCCACCTACATCTATCGTCCGCAGTGCTGGGGCTCAGTCTGTGGTGTCGGTGGCACGTGCATATATGGATGAGGTAAGCACTGAACGTGAAGAACCGTGAAAGAAGGCTGAAGGGAACGGAATTCGACAAAGAAAGTAACATTCAAAGACCTAGACGATCAACGGCTAATTATTCAATGAATTATTATAGTACTGGAGGTCAAGCACCGGCGAGGACACTGGGAACACAAGATATAACGACAACAGGAACAACAACAACAGGAACAACAACAACAACAACAACAACAACAACAACAACAACAACAACAACAACAACAACAACAACAACAACAACAACAACAACAACAACAACAACAACAACAACAACAACAACAACAACAACAACAACAACAACAACAACAACAACAACAACAACAACAACAACAACAACAACAACAACAACAACAACAACAACAACAACGACACCAGCACAAAAAGCGACACCAGCACAAAAAGCCGCTGCCCTCAACGAATTCTTCATTTCACAGAGCAAGCTGTCCGTGGCCAATGCGGATGAGCAAACTCCAGCCATCAACACCACCCCTGACATCCTCAGTCCCCTTCAAGAAATCTCGACTTCCCAAGCTGAGGTCGAAAAACTCCTCCGAGGAGTTGATACCAACAAAAGCCCCGGGTTTGACTCTATTCCAAACCGCCTCCTCAAAGAAGCGGCTAAGGAACTTGCACCGTCGTTATCGTCCCTCTTTAATCTATCGTTCCAAACCGGAGAAATCCCACAGGAGTGGAAAGATGCCACCATTACTCCAGTACCCAAGCCGGGTGACCCAACCCAACCAACAAATTATA